GTTTTTATTTTCATTCATTGGCTTCCACTAGAAGCTTCCAAGCTTAAGGTGATTGCTTTGATGGAAGATTTATAACTGATTTTGATGAAAATGCAATCAAGGTTAAGATTTGTTTCTAATGATAATACCACCGTATGACACTTGAGTTGTGTTTTGTTGTTGTTAAGTGCCGTCCAGTTGGTTTCAACTCATAGCAACCATGTGTAGGATATCCAGAGGAGCAGCTGGTGAGTTTGAACCGCCGACCTTGTGGTTCAAACCGACATTGCAATCCAGTGCTTTATCCCACAGCACCATATCAGGATTCCCGGTTGTGTTTTACAGAGTCATTTTTCAAAGATGCAAACATTTAAAAACTTAATGATGATGACCAACAGGGAAAGAAAGCCTGTACAGCAATGCTGAAGCATTATTTTGTGTTGACTAGTGCTGCTCTAACAGAAATGCAAAAAGCTGATAGGGTATCCAGTACCCATCATCCTGGAGATTGAAAGAAATAGCTGTTCCTAGGGACTCATGTCTGAATTCACTTTGATTTTATCGTTGAATGCCTTGCATGCTGTACTTAAAAGGAGGTGTTATATTGTATCAAGGAAGAGTTGGGAAAAATGAAGATGGCATTATCTCTGGTTAACTTTCATTTCACTTGTGTCACTCTGCTAGACAAATCCGTGGCAGAAACCATAATACAAAGAGGAGTTCTAATAATTCTACCCTATTCTGTTTTAATGCAACTGCTACTAGTACTGGTATGTTTAATAGTGAAACATTCAGGAGAGATGCCATACAGATGTGTCCTGGGCACATGGACTTATGGTCCATCTGTTTTCCTGTAGAAGGGAATCCAAGCTCCTTACTTTAGCATAAAGTCATTTTCCACTGGACGACACTCAATCTGCATTTTTCTTCTTTTTCCCCTGGGTGGTCTGTTTCAGGTGAATTCCCCTCTGCTTTTCTAACTTAGGAGGGTAAGTCAAAAGGCATTACCTCTAGGGTAGTACTTCACGCATACATGGGTTTATTCCAAACAAAGCAGGTTTAAACATACCTCTGTGATCATTGGATGGCTGCAGACAAATTCTCTCAATAATATATTTGTCTTAGTTGCTCTGAGTTGGAACTGACTCAACAGCACTTAACAGTTACAGTAGCAGTGCTTTCAACAAAAGATCCAGTCAGAACAGTGGTTTCTGAGGGGATCAGCTGGGCCAGTTAAATTCAAGGCTGTGAGGTCACCTCAGAAGCTTATGGTGACTGTGTTTTGGAATGTCAAAGGAGAAATCTTGATAGATTTTCTCAAAGGACACAGGCCAATCTTGGGGTAGTAGGAAGGAATTTGAAGACAATTGAAAACTGCTTTGGTTTGATAAAGGTAAGGAAAGTTGTGCTGAGGAATTATTTTCCATCAAGACTGTGCATCTGTTCACTCTTCTAGTGAAGCAAGTAAAAATTACCCAAAATTTTCTTGGGAATCTTTACCCCGCCTGCCCTACAGCCCTGATCATGCCCCTATAGACTTCTTTTTGTTCCCCAAACTCAAAGCACATTGAAAAAGAATGAGTTCCTCAAGGATGCTCAAATTGCCTTTTGCCTTGTTGTCAAATGAAGGGCACAGAATTCTTCAGGGAAGTGTAGAGAGACGGAAACACTCCCTCCAGAAGTGTATAGACCTAGACAGAAGGCATGTTATAAAACAATAGCTTCATATTTTGAGATTTTTGTTTAAAGAAAGTTTATGTGATTTTTGTAGCAATACTTTTTGAGTTATCTTCATAGAGTTTACTTCCTGTGATTCCCTCTGGTTGGAAGTGCCCTGTTCACCAGGCTTAGCATATCTAGTCCTACTTGTCCTTTGACTCCCAATGTAAATGCAGGCATACTTCAGAGAAATTGTGGGTTTAGTTCCAGACCATCACCAAAAGGCCATTCTTGGAGTAAAGCAAGTCATATGATTTTTTTGTTTCCCGTGCATATAAAACTCATGGTTACACTATATTGTAGTTTATCTATTTATTATACAATAGCATTATGAAAAAGCGAACTATTGTGAGAATTACCAAAATGTGACAAAGAAACATGAAGTGAGTACGTGCGTTGGAAAATGGCACTGATAGACTTGCTATAGACCTTCAATTTGTAAGACAGTGCAGTAACTGCAAAGTGCAGTAAAATGAGCTATGCCTAGACTGCCCTTTTTTTCTAACCCTCTTGATTTGCCCAAGTGGAACTAATCTTTTTCTTCAAAATATCAACAATTCTCTATATGACTTACCTTTTTGTTGTAACATACAAAAATTGAAAACATCACATTTGTCATGTCAACAGTTTTGGTGTATACAATTTAATGATTTCAGTTACACGAACCATGTTGTGTAATCACAACCCACATCCTTGCCAAATTCCCCTTCACCATAAAGAAATTCTCGCTAAATAAAAGCTCCCTTTCCCAACTAACTTTCATCTCTATACTTTACCTATTCTTATTTTGTATACATAAGATCATACAGTATTTGTGCTTTGTGATTGACTTATTTCACAGGATAAGGTTTTGAATGTTCACCCATGTTGTAGCATGGATCAGGACTTAGTTTATTTTTATGGCTGAGTAGTATTCCACTAAGGAGCTCTGGTAACATAATGGTTACGAGTTGGGCTGCTAACCTCAAGATCAGCAGTTCGAAACTACCAGCCAAAGAAAGATGAGGCTTCCTACTTCTGCAAAGATTTACAGCCTCGGAAACCCTATGCAGGGTCACTATGAGTTGGAACTGACTCCACTGCACACCACCACCAGTATTCTACTATAGGTATAGAACACATTTTGTATCATACATTCCTCTGTTAATGGGCACTTAGATTATTTCCACCATTTGGCTATTAGGAATATTGGTGTACATGTGTCTTTTCACATTGCTTTTCGGTTTCTTTGTTATATACTAGGAATAGAATTATTGAGTCATATGGTAGTTCTGTGTTTAACTTTTTCAGGAACTGCTGAATTGTTTTCTGTGGTGGCTTTACCATTTTGCATTCCTTCCAGCAATGGGAAGGAGCCCTGGTAACGTAGTGGGTTATGTGTTGGGCTGCTAACTGCAAGGTCAGCAGTTTTAATCCACCAGCGACTCTAAGGGAAAAGGATGAGACTTTCTGTTCCTGTAAATATTTACAGCCTTGAAAACCTTATACCGTGACCACGTTGGTCTACTGATAAGGGGAAGTAGGGGAAAAACAGCAATGAAGTTATGAGCGAAATCCGACTATGTTCAGTCTGTTAACCTGGATTGAGATATGGTTGGCCAG